AGGTGTAAATATGACACATTTCTGATTTGGTTTTAGATTTCTTGCCTCCACCATAACGGATTAACAGTGAGCTGAAATATGAAGCAGCAGAAAACAGAAAAACTCATGAAGTCTCTCAGATTAGTCGTTGAGTTGTTGGTACCTGATGAACTGCATGATGATGACGCAGACGTCACGTCGGATCAGAAGCTGCTGAGGTGTAGAAGGAGGTCAGGGTTTCCTCCTTCGTCATCGACGTTCAGACACGTTTCAGTGTTCTCTGATGTGGAACGATGACTCTGGTTCTGAGCGCGCTCAGATGGTGACGCTGTCGTGGACCAGAGTGCACTCGTCTGAGCCTTTATTTAGACTCAGTGAGTCACATCTCAGACTGACGGAGGAATCATCACACCAACTCCTGTCTTCTGATAAAAACATTCATAAAAGTGATGAAAGCCAAACTCCAGGAGCAGCTGCTGGTTCGACCTCCAGACGTTATGCAGGAACCAGTTTAATGCTTCAGGTTGTTCTACAAACTGGATTAACATCCTCCACGAGCTCCTGGATGAGTTTAACACAAAACACTTCATTTTGCGTCTTTTCAGAATCATTTAACGTGTTTTTTTGGTCATATTTTGTCTCTTTGTGTTTATTTTCCATCACGTTTTCAGTCATTTTGATAGTTTTTCATCATTTTAAACGTAATTTTTGCATGTTTTTTAGAAATATTTACAATTCTTTAGAATTATTTACCATCTCTTTGTGCTCGTGTTGCATCTCGTCACAGTTTTTTTGCAACTTTTTTTGAATTTTGCTTATTTTTGGGATTCTTTTTGCATCCCTTTGTTGTATTTCTTTTTGTCTTTGGAATCATTTTGTGTCTTTTTGGCTCATTTTGCTCGTCTTTGGTGTTTCTTTGTGATCATTTTGTTTCTGTACAATTGTTTAGCGTCTCTTTTTGGTCATTGTGCATGTCATCGCTGTCTTTTTGTGTCTCTGTGTGCTCTTTTTGGATCATGTTGGACTCATTTAGCATCTCCTTGGTGTCATTTATGCATAAACAGGATATAATTTCTGGACTCTCCTGTTGGTTTGTGAACCATTTTCAATGCTTGTGTTTGGAATTTGCTTGTCCTTGTTTTGGTCTTGATGAAACAAATGGATCCAACTTTAACATCTATTTTCTTCTAAATGGAACCATAACTGTGTTGTGTTGATTTTATATCACCAGGCTTCCTTTTGCAGCACCTGTCTGGATGGAGATCATGTTGGTTTAAACCCTGAACGCCTCCTTCATACGGTGGCTCTGATTGGTCCGTTCTGATCACTCAGTTCTGCTTCCTGGTCCTGGAGGTTCTCAGAAACGTCTCCTGTGTGGAGCTCAGACCCGGCAGAAGGATGAAGCCAGTCTGAGGTGAGTCACTCTGAAACATGAACTAAAACAATCGCACAATTACCCAGAACGAACCGCAAACAACTGACTCACCGTTTAGTTTGACAGTCTGACGCTCCGACGACATTCAGCCTCACACAAACGTTCTGCTGCCACCAAACAGACGTTCAAACATCTCAGAAGTTGTATGAAATCAAGTGTTTTTGTATTAAACCTGAAGTTTAAATGTTTTATCTGTTTATTGTCTCTTTGCCATTATATTGTCTCTTCGTGGTCATTTTGTTGTTCTTTGGGATTATTTTGTTTCTTGATGCCTCTTTGTGTCCATTTTATGGTCATTTTGTGTCTATTTGT